GAAGCGGGTTTTGGGTTTGGTATTAGTTCTAAGAGCCCTTGCTTGCTGCGGGGTTTGGGTCTATTAGTATTTGTACCTACCCGTACACAACTTCATTAATTCATTCCATGTTTGCTCAATAAATAATTAGAGTCTTACTATGGCCAGCAGGGTAAACCTCAGAGGATTTGATTGTAAGCTCATTTTTTTAAAATAAATAAATATGAGAGTGGTACCTTAAAATGATATGTATAATAAATGGGGGAAAATAAATCAGGAAAAAGAGAAAGCGTTCTAGGGAAGGAGGTTTTTACCATTTTGAATAAAATGGGTGGCGAATAACCCATTGAGAAGTGACATTGAATTAAGACCTAAAGCACGTAAAGGAGAGGTCTGTGTGGACATCAGGGAGGAATGAACCTGATAGAAGGAACTGGGGACCTAAGACTCTGCCTTGCTTCACATGTTGGGGAATATCGGAAAACCCCGGTGGCTGGAGCAGAAGGGAGACAGGCCAAGTCACTGGGGCTTCCTGGGAGGGGCAGCGGTGAGGACCTAGCCTGAGCAACAGGGAAAGCAGGGGTGTGGTGAATTTCAGCCAGGACACTGAGCCAGTTCCTTCTGGTTCTATCTGCTTCTGAGAATTTGCTTTTTTACCCAATATACTGAGTCAGAATTTACATTTTAAGGTTTTATAAGGGAGATCTGAAGTCTTGGTGGCAGGGAGTTGAGCTGCTAACCCAAGGGAGCCAGTTTCGAATCTATCAGCTGCTCCTTGGGAGAAAGATTAACCATCTCCTCCTGTGCCATTAACTGTCTCTGAAAACCCTCTGGGGGGCAGGTTCAGCTACAGGTCTGCTCCAACTTGACAGTATGTAACAACATGTATGTATAAGGAGCCAAGGTGGTAGAGTGCATAAAGAATTGCTCTGCTAAATGAAAGACTGGCAGTTTCACCAGCTGCTTTATGGGAGGATGACAGGTGGTCTCCTCTAGTAATGATTTACAGTCTTGAAGACATGGTGGAGGGCTCCATAAGTCAAAACTGACCCAATGGCAATATTTGAGATATACTTAGAAATCACTTGGGGTAGATTCTGATTCAGTGTATCTGGTATGGAAAGGAAAGTCCCAACTGGGACTTGAATCATAAAACTAATTGGAAGCCTGGTTTCAGCAGCCAGGAACAGATAGTTTTCAAGAAGGGATGCAGTCAACACTTTTAGGGAAAATGCGGCCTGTGAAGGGACCCTGGCAATTACCCATTTAGATGTCATCAGAGACTTTGTGTTGTTGTTGTTTAGTGTTGAGTTGGAATTAACCCATAGCTGAGCCTGCAGCAGGTTTTCAGAGGCTGTAAATCACACTGATTGCCCATCTTTCTCCCTCGGAACAACTGGTGGATTTGAACCACAGTCTTCGGGATTGTCGCGCACTTCTTACCACTAGACCACCAGAGCTCCCTCATCAGAGACTTAGTGAGAGCCAATCATCACTTGATTACAGGAGCTCTGGTGGCAAACAGCCGGCAGGGAGCTGCCCTGCTAACCCAAAGGCAAGGAAGGCCCCACTGGCAGTCTGAACATGCCAGCAGTTGTGCAGGAGAAAGATGGACAATGTCCTCCTATGTGAGGAGTCCAGATGTCAGTCAGTTCCTACTCTGAATGAGTGTGATCGTATGATTATTTAATGTTTACTGTGTGGGAGATGGACAATCTCCTATGGCGTTCACAGCCTCTGAAAACCTGCTGGAGGGTCAACTGTGAGTTGGTCCTGACTTAACAACCATGAGAAGGAGGAGGGCAATATTTTAAGTACTTTATGTGCTTCATCTCATTTAATCATTACAGGAACTGAATCTATGTTGGTCAGCTAATACTGCATAACAAACAACCTCAAAAATCTCAGCGGCTTACACCAGCCAGCTTTCTCATTCACACATCTATAATTTGGCTGGAGTTTAGCTGATCTTGGCCAGGTCCTAAAGCACTTACCATCTGCCCTGGACTATATAAACTAAGCACTCTTTACCCTGGACTATACTAACCACCCTTCAGTTTTCTCATTCATTTAATTCTCCCAGAAACCCTAGGAAGTACTTTTAGCCTCTCATTTTACAGAAAAAAATGAGGCTCAGAGACTCCAAGTCTCTCACCCACCTTATTTGTGGCACAGCTAAGAGGGCTGCCCAGGATGGTGAAAGGTGCTGGAGCAGCCCCATTCCTTATCCCCTCCCTCTCCTGCAGGTGGACGCAAGTGCTGTTGGCTGCCCCAGGTCCTGCCTGGGGGCAGGGTTTGGACCACTTTGGAGTGCAACCATGTGGAGGTGCACACATCTCATCTCACATATGACTTGGGGGAGCCAGGTGCGCTTGACAGTGTCATCCCCTTCCTCAACCAGCTGGTGGGACTCTGTGGGGCCTTTGGTGATGATGCTGGTCCTCTCAACCTGCTGCTAGATGCCATACTCTGGCCAAACGAGCTCGTCATTACCCTGTGCCTGCCATCCCAGGCTGATCATGATTTTGGCATCAGCTGCCCTGAGCAAAAAGGCTGGACTCCTAAAGTGTGTGGACTCCTGCAGCCCCCTTTGGCCACTGCCTGGCCACATCAACCATGAACTGTTCCTCAGGATATGTCTACAGGACATTTGTCATGTCCCTGACCAGCACCTTGGCCTCTGTGATGCCCTCACAGCCTACACTGCAGCCGATCAGGAGGCTGGGCTCCCCATGATGCCATGTAGGAGCCCCAGCCTTTGCCATAAGTACTAGAGCTGGGACCAGGGTACATCCAGGGTGGGTTGTGGACTGGAAGAGGGAATCTCCCTCCCCTGGTAGAGGTCCACGCAGAATTCCTGACGTGGGTAGAATTTGACTGAGTGTGTGGTAATGACATCAAAGGAGAGGGAACTACATTTGCAAAGGTGGGGATGAACAGATGTCACTGGGAAAGTAGCCTGTCTGTGGTCAGAAGGCATTGAGATTTGAAAAGGATGATTAAGTCCAAACACTCACCTTTGCCCTCTGCCTGCAGTCCTGACCTGCCCACCCCAAAGCCACTATGGCATCTGTGCACACACCTGTGATGGTGGCTGTGCCCTGCCCCACAGCCCTGCCTGCTGCTCCTCACGATGCCATGAGGACTGTGTGACCCTACCCTGACTTCATCTTTGATGGCACTGACTGTGTGGCTCAGGACCATTGCGACTTCTTCCACAATGGACGCTACATCCCTGTAAGATGGGTCCTCACACCCTGGGAGGGGTAGTGGCTCCCGTTCCTTTGTTTAAAATGTTCCCTGAACCACACAGTATCAGTCAGCGTTTTTGGTTGTAACTGACAGAAATGATGCTCACTTTTAAATACCTAGAGTCCCATTGGTGGAATGCACACTGTGCTTCTGGGCCGATAACAGAAAGGTCTACGGTTCAAATCCACCAGATGTTCTGAGGAAGAAAGAGAAGCAGTCTCTTCCCATAAAAATTTACAACTTTGTAAACCCCATAGAGAGTCATCAGGTGCCAGAATTGACTCCACAGTGGTGAGTTTGGCTCAGATTTATATCCAAAACAAAAATAACTTTATTAACTTTTATTTCTGAAAAGTAGACGCCTTCAAGCACGAACTGACGAGACCTTAGTTTTCCATCATCTTTTATTCCTGCCTTTTTCTCTGTTAGCTTCTTTGTTAGATATGCTATAGATCCAAATGCTAGAATGGAGACTTAAAATTACAATGGCCTACATATGATGGAATGAGAGGAGGCATTCTCCCATGGAATTTACTGCCTCGGAAAACCCACAGGAGGCTCAGCTGTAAGTTGGTTCTGACGCAAGGGTGCATAATGACCAGCATGATAGAAGTTTATTTAGCCCATAAATGTTGTTGTTGTTGTTAAGTGCGTCGAGTCTCAGGCAACTCATAGCGACCCTATGAAGGAGAGTCCTCAGCACTTGTGTGTCTCTCATCCTCTCTCCAGGTTCATAGGGTTTCCGGAGGCCAGCTATTACGGAAGTGGATGTCACTCCTGCTTCCAAAGCTCATAAATAGCACAGGAATAAATAGTTTGCAGGTGCGCAGGGGCCCGGGTGTGTTCAGGGCGGAGGGCAGGTTGTCATAGAGCGCCCCCCAGTGCTTCGAGTGCTCGTGGGGCCCAAGGGGGCCGTGGCCCTGCGGATATCCCCTGTGCTTCGAGGACACCTCCGCACAGCCTGCAGTAACTACAACGGAATTGCAGCCAACGATCTGGCACTCCCTGGAGGATTTCGGGCCACAAGCTTGGAAGACTTGTTCCGGGCGTACCGGACTCACAGCTTCAACGACTTGTAAGGCTGGACCCTGAGTCCCCTTGACCGAGAACATGACCACAGTTCCCGGTGCCCACGTTCTCTCTGCCCTACAGCACCGGGAAGATAATTCCACCGGCCGAAAACCAAGATTTCAGCGCGTCACTCTGTCCTTTCCGATCCAGGGGAAAGGGACACGTGGATCTTCCCGAGATGGTTTTAATAAATAATGACACACACGTGTGAGGGCTTGCTTTCTCTCTGCTCGCCCCAGGGCTTTTAGTTCCTTGCCCCTTTGGTATTCAAAAGTAAGTTCGGATTTCCTCTTCCCTCCAACATAAGACCTAAATATTCAAACGTCTAGCTCCTTTCTCCTAAGGTTACTAGGATCTCAAGTAACCGCGGTCCGAGGTAACAGGGTCCCACAGTTACCAATGTCCGGGGGTCGGGGGGAGGGAGGGAGACGGACATTCAAGAGAGCGAATCAGAAACTCTGTTCCAGATATTCCCGCCCTACCCCTGACGCAACGGTACCGCTAGCCAATGGGGTGCCACGGGTGGGGTGCTAGGGCGCCGGAAAGAGCTCAATGAGAGACAGAGGTTACGGGGACTGGGGCTATGCCGAGAGGTTTGTGCGGTTGAGCTGCCGTCTTTCCTAACTCCCGTCTTTCCTATCTCTGCGGTAACGGTTCCTGGGACCCCTGTGGCGTGCGGCCGCTGCCAGCTCGCTGCCATGAGCCGGCACAGCCGGCTGCAGAGACAGGTCCTGAGCCTGTACCGCGAGCTGCTCCGCGCCGGGCGCGGGAAGCCGGGCGCCGAGGCCAGGGTGCGGGCCGAGTTCCGGCAGCACGCCAGCCTGCCACGCTCCGACGTGCTGCGCATTGAGTACCTGTACCGCCGCGGGCGGCGCCAGCTCCAGCTGCTCCGCTCGGGCCACGCCACAGGTATGGGCGCCTTCGTACGCCTGCAGGGCCCGCCCGGGGAGCCCGGCGAGGTGGGGGCCCGGGAGAGTGTGCCTAAGGACGCTGAAGGTCCGAGGAGTCCGCAGGAAGGCGCGAGAGAACCGGAGACACCACCTGGTGGACGATGACAGGTAGAAGAGCCGCTTTACTACCTGTATAGGGGCCTGCTCAACTGCTTCGTCGCTAGCACGTAGCTCATCGGATTAGAAGAATCGAGAGAGAGCGCTCCTGTTGGTATGGGGGACCCAAAGCCCCGTGATCGACAAGAGACACATCATTACATGTTGAGCGCTCACTGGATGGACTTGATATCAAGCTAAGGATGCCTTACCCGCAGGAGTGGGGAGCAGATGTGCCTCCTTTATGGACAAAAAGTTGAGACACCCCTCTTATGATCCCTGAGCATATAACTACTTGACTCTTCAAGGTGAGTCTCTTTACCCTGAGAAGAGCAGACTTTTTGCTGAGCTGAGAAGCCTGGAACTTCTTTTTGGACGCCCCCCTTTCCCCAGTGGATTGTGACCAGCCAGGACCTGTCAGTATGGAGTTGGAGATCTCGACCCACTGACAACCCAAATCCCCGTAAGACTTCCCACTTGATGGTTCTAAGGGATGTGTCAATGTCTTCACAGACATACACAATCGAATAAAATTAAGGATATGCTTGCATATCTGCTGGTGAACTTGACAATTTTTTAAATTTGATTCTTTTTCAAGAGACATCCCACATGCATCTGTAAGTGAGATGGGGAGGGGTGTGCTGAGCCCGCTCTTCCCCTCTGGAGACCTACTGGTTAAAACTGTAAAAGCTGATACTTACTGGTTGGGGCCTTATCCTGGCTTGACTCCTTAATGCAAAGAGAAGAAATGGCCAAGTTGAGGCCTGGTGGGTAGGTACCCCCTGAGGCAATAGTAGGGACATACAAGCCATTTTCAGTGTTTTTCACAGAATCTGGAAATGTCCATCTTCCCTGGCAAACAGAGGTCCAGCCTCAGCTACAAGCTTAAATTTTTATCAGCAAGGCCTTGGGGAGTGTCAGTAAAGAACCATAGGTACCTTCTTTCTTGTTTGTCCCCAAATGGACTTGTCCAAGACCTTCTTGGGGATCCTGCATTGCAGCCCTCATCTATATTGGTCCAGGTAAATAAGTGGACAACACATGAATTCTTAGCACGTGCCATTGTTGAAAACCAGGCCTAAGTCCCAAGCGAGGATGAATAGAAGAGAAATACAGACTTGTACCCAGGTGGAACTTTGGTACCCAACTAATTAAAAAAGTGATGTTGAAGTCGGAAGACTTAAGAGTTCTCCAACAGGTGTAAGAGTAGGCCTTTAGCAGGAAAACTATGTGGACAAAGGGGGAAGTACATAATCTTATCTCGTGCCTTATCACAAAGCTATGGGGCCTCCTTTTTTGTGGCTTCTTCAGTTTTGTCTCTGGTAAGTCAGCCTGGGACCTTGGCTATGTTGTTTCTCTCAGTCTCTGGTTTGGTTTGTTTTTTTTTTTTCCCCCATCAGAGTGACCCTATTAATCCTGTCCTGATTCCAACTCACAGTATGATGAGCCAGAGTCCTGGTTGGGCCCTGGTGATCTCCAACCACATCCCCCACCTCTCCCATTCTGAGTCTCAGTCCTAGTCTCATGGACTCGGCTGCAGGCAGTAAGCAAGTTCCACCAGGCTGAACATCTGTATCAACAGTGGAGAGGGTGGGATAAGAGGAGACCTGATTTGAGGGAGAGAAGTGGACTGATGAATTGTTGAACATGGATCCTGGAGCTAAAATGTGCTTAGGTTTGATCTCTAGCACTGTTTATAGCGTCATGCTACTTCAGTTCCCTTCTCTATGAAATGGGCATAGTAGTAGCGACTTTCTTATGGAGCTGGTCTGAGGATCACTAAATCAATACATGTTTAAGCAACTGATGACAAATGTTCCCTCCCACTATCCTCCAGCCCGCTTGGGCTCACTTGCAGTGGAACAGGTTCAGGAAGCTGACAGTTTCTTGGCCAGAGCCCCTGTATTTCTACTTGAGGGTTTTTGGGGAGTTGTGTTAATGACCTTGGAGGTAACTATCAGCCTGGAGGGAACAGTAGTCTCTGGATAAATGTCGCAGCCTGTCTCTTGTCCAGAGGGATAATTGCAGTGTGTGTTCTATAGGAGTTCTTAAGAGATCCTCCTGGTTGAGCCCCAGCGGCCTGCAGTGGTAACTTGGCCCACAGACACACTGTGTGGCTTTTCTCCTGCCCTGCCTCACTCTCCCCCCTCCCTTAATCCTGTCTTGTGGGATCATTCCCAGATAAACTGTCTCGTTTCAGTCCTTGATGTGTAAAGCCAAGGGATCAGTATGAGGTTGACTGATGCTATTCTACATGTGCCTGCTGCTCTTTTTAACTCTGCCAAGTCACAGACTCAATGCTTGTCAGTCTCTTGACTTTGTATGTTAACCAGAACCTCCTGATCTTAAAAAATTGCTATAAAAGACATAGGGGGTTTGGACTGTATGGACTGTAGATTAAGATAATATTGAATTAAATTGTTAAGTCTTCTGATTTATAGCTTTATAAAAGCGATTTATATCCTCTGAGTTGATAGCTGTACTCTAATCACTTAAGAATGCTCTTGTTCTTAAATACACACTAAAGTATTTAGGAGTGAAGAGCCATCATGTCTGCAATTTTTTTTTTCATGTCAGATAGGTAATATGCTCATGTTGTTAACAAGGTTTAAGGGTAGCATATGTCATACAAAAGCATGAACATGCAATCATCATGCTCATGAACAGAAAGAGGATCTGTAATTTATTCTGTTTGTTTCCTCTTCCTCCTTTTTTTAAAATTAATTTTAATAAAAGTTTACAGAGACTTTGGATTTCCATTCATTCATTGTTACACTTTTCTCCCTGCTCAGCCGCCCCCCCCCCTTCACTCTTCTCTTTGAAAAGTAAAAGAAAAATTCTGTTGCACAATCCCCACCCTCAAGTCCACTCCACTATGCAGCCTTCTTTCTGGACTTCTGTTAATGACAATAATACCTAATCATATATCCCTTTTAAACAGTTCTTTCCCTCATCTGTTTCAATGCAGTATACGTAATTTATCCCATCTTTCTCACTCTCCCCCCAACCCCAACATCAGTCCCATTTTACAACAGTGGCACTATGCAGTATTTGTCCTTTTGTGACTATTTCACTCAATATAATGTCCTCCAGGGTCACCCATTTTGAATATTTCATGAGTTTCTTATTTTTCAATGCAGCATAATATTCCATTGTGTGACTATACCACAGCTTCTCTATCCACTCGTTGATGGGCACTTCAGTTGTTCCCAACTTCCTGCTATTGTGAACAAAGCCGCGATAAACATGGGTGTGCATATGTCTGCCTGGGTGGCAGTTATGGTTTCTTTAAAATATATTCCTAGTAATGGAATTGCTGGGTCAAATGGTATTTCTATTGGCAACTTTTTTTTAAAAAAGGTTTTTTTGTTTTTTTGGGGTTTTTTAAAATTATTATTATTAAATTTTATTAGTTTCAATGAATATTCACAGGAATTCTGGGCTTTCACTCCTTCATTGCCGCACCATTCTCTCCACCCTCCTCCCCAGTTTGTTCTTCTTCCCCACCATCCGAATGTCTGTTTTAATTGTCCATTTGCCACAGTGCTTGTCAAAGTCAGTTCTGATTAATCTCCTTTGTCGGTGTGTCCTTTGCCATTCCCTATCACTCCTCCCTAAGTGAGACTTCACCCTAATTCATAAGGAAAAGGGGATGGCGTATTAGCTACTTCCTGCTGAAAAGAGACGCTGTGGGTTTCAGGGTGAAGATCTTCTCTCACTACTCTAAAGGGCCCCTTTGGCAGTAGGAAACACATAGACTATTATGGAGATT